TTCATAAGCCCCTTTCCTTTGACCAGAGTTTTGGGGATCCACTGGTCTTGGGCCCACACTTCTTTCAGTAAGTTCCCATAATTTGCACAGTATGCAGCCTTGGATCTTTCTGGATCTCTCCTTTGATTCCACAGCATACTGAGGCCACTTCTCATACACACTGGGTCCAGGTTTTTTTAAACAATCTTGTTAAACAGCTAACTGGAACTGAGTATCATATTCCTCTCTGTATACTTTCATCTAAAGTATCATCATTTGAAGATTCATGATTTGATTCTCTGCTTTGGCAATCAATTTCATCATCGTCATCATCATCATCGCTGCCACCATTGTCATGAGAATCTAGAGTGCTACTGTTACTCTCATAATCATCTTCTGAGTATGTGGGAAAATGTCTTTCTCTGTCAAATGTTCTTTTTGACATTATGAAAGAAAATGAAAAATTCTGAATTCTTAAACTGTATTCAATAGAAGTAACAATAACTTTCAGAGTCTACAGAGTTCTTCATTATCTTCCTGAAAGATGATACAATTTTTTGTTGGAATGCACTTCTGAAGTAACATTGCTACACTTCATGATGTACCAGACTAATTTTTCAAGGATGCTTGACAATAAACATCCTTGGAAGACAGAGATAGTGTCTCCCTTGGGGGGAAAAAAAAAGTTCAATAGGATTTGTTGAAGCTCCTTTTACAAGAGTGAGGGGTTTTAACAAGCTCAGATTTCCTCAGCAATAATGCACATTCACTGTGTGTGCAACACTACAGGGTTCACCTCCTTCTTCCCTGTGAGGCTTGGAGGGGAAGGCAACCGAGGCAAATATGAAGCTCATATTGGCTGTTGCGCCTTTGTCTCCTGTCATTTGCCAGCACTCATGAAAGTGTGACAAGCCAACTTGCCAACTTGAAAGGCCAATATCTCATGATCTTCACAGTTCTTGATATACTTGGCATAGCTCAATAAGAAAATTGAAGCATTAATAGCGATACTTCAATTCACTTACAATATTTTTCTATGTGGTTCCATCAGCTGCCCATTTTCAAATTTTTTAGCTGTTTCTTACATAGGAACGCCTGACAAATAATTATAAAATAATTTATAGGATAATCAAACAATAGTGTGGAGAAAATAAGGTCACCAATATGTATCATTTATCTGTAAGACAGAATGATTCCTATTCTATTTTTTAAAATAAGGAATTTTCCTTACCAACAAAGAAAAGCCCAGGCCCTGATGGATTCACTGCTGAATTTTACAAGACATTTAGAGAAGAACTACTACCATTACTCTTCAAACTTTTCAATGAAATTGAAAGAGAAGCTATACTTCCAAATTCATTCCTGGAAGCAAGTATCACTCTGATTCCCAAACCAGAGAAAGATACAACCAAAAAGGAGAACTACAGACCAATCTCCTTAATGAATATAGATGCAAAAATCCTTAATAAGATACTAGCAAACAGAATACAGAGGATTATTAAGAAGATCATCCATC